CTCTGCCATAGGCTCCCTGCGGGTCTACCCCACCTTCCCGCTCTTCCTGCTGGGCCGGTCCCACTTTCTGCCTCTGCACGTCCCGCCTCTCTGCACCATCTCAGTCGCAGTCAATTCTCTGGAAGAATCGCAATTTCCGGTGGGCTCCCTCCTCCTCACCCACACGATGCTGGGAAACCCAGGCCCCAGGAGGCTGCACCAGAGCAGCAGCAGCAGGAGGCTCGGGAGGGGCATGGCCAGACCTCAGGGCCCCTCACACACTTCCTGCAGGCGCGGGGGGTGGGCTGGGTAAAACAGGGAGACTGCAGAGAGGGGCCCACCTAGCTGAAACCGCATCTGCTTCTGCTGTCCCACGTGGGGCCCACAGGGCACTGGCCCGACGTGGGAGGCTGCAGAGGGGGCAGCCAGCAAGGAGGCTCTGAAGTGATGGACTGAGGCACTGGCGTAGGGTGGGCCTTGATCTACTGCTCGAGGCATCGCCTGGAGCTTTGCCTGTCACGTGGCCTCTTTCCAGGGCTGCTTTAAAGAAGACCAATAGTGCTGTCCATTTTCCTTAGAAGGTGAGGGGCTCTGTAACAGCCTGCAGGAAGGCGGTTCTGGAAACAGCTCCAGCAGGTGGCAGAGGGGCTCAGGACACAGGAAGTGTGCTGGGCCGGAAGGTGCTCTGCCCGAGTCCAGGTCCACTGACCACTTAGGTCCACTCACCAAGGGCCTGAAGGTGCCCACTGAGTCCGCGAGCATGTGTGGCTTTCCGGGGAGACAGGTCAACATTATCGCATTTCCAAAGAGATTTACTACACATAAAACATGAACAACTCTTGGTGTTTATACAGCATAACTCAATTTTTACCTTAAAAAACCAAAAATACATTTTTAAAAGACTAAGAGGTGGTAATTCAAATATTAAAAGTGCTTTCCCCGGGGTGGGTGCAGACAGACAGGTTTCTTTTCACTGAACTATATTTTCTATAAAACAGTTTTGTGTCACTTGTGTGATTAAAGTGAAAGAACCTGATTTCCAGCTGCATCACTCTCAGAAGCACCTCCAGGTGAGTGTGCTGAATGCCTCTTAGCGTCCTCAGGTGGCGTCACTCTCAAAAGCACCTCCAGGTGAGTGTGCTGAATGCCTCCTCCTCAGCATCCTCAGGTGGCGTCACTCTCAAAAGCACCTCCGGGTGAGTGTGCTGAATGCCTCTTCCTCAGCGTCCTCGGTGGCGGTGGTAACCTCCCAGGCCAGAGAGCGGGTCGGGTGGGGTTCCCTGTGGCCTCCTCTGGGGTACAATCCCTGCTGCCTTGGTGTGTTCTGGGAACTGGAGCAAAGCAGGGCTAACATTTAAGAAAACGGGTAGCTGGGGACCAAACCTAGGGCCTTGCACTTAAAACCAAAAACCAAAAAATGATAAATTCTTAGCTGGGCATGGTGGTGCATACCAATAATCCCAGCACTCTGGGAGGATGAGGCAGGAGGGTTGCAAGCCAAGCTCAGCTAGGCAATTTAGCGCAGCACTGTTTGGAAAAATAAGAGTGTTGGAGAAGTAGCTCAGCGTGGACAGAACACCGTGTCACCAAGGTGGCCCATGGTCCCGACCCTCCCTTCCTCGTCTGCCGGCTAGCTGCTCGCCAGCGCGCTCCCTCCTCTGCCCGTCCCCGCTTCCTCCCGCAGAC